TTAGTGATTTTTCATTTTTCACAATATCCGATTTTTAGTGAAGAGTTTTCAAAATAGTGATCTTTTCATTCATTCGCACATCTCACATCCTACAAAAACGTTTAGTCTAGTTTTATTTGAAAAATCGCTATTTTCACCATTAGACTCCCCTGGCGAAGGAAAATTGAAGAGAACAGAATTATCTTCTGGAAACAAAATAAATTCTCAGGTTTAAGTGATTTATGCATTAGCAGAAACTATTTAAAGTCAACATTAAGGTCGCGCTCACTGAAAATCAGTTCGAGATCAAGTACATTCAAATTTATAGAAGATATGGATCTAACAAGGATCAATAATCTTTCACGTTTTCGCCAAGTTTTTCCGTGATCTTCATTCTACGTATTGATCTTTGTCATTTGGCAGCGCATATCAGAATGCACTGCTTATCGAAGTCTTGTTTTTAAATTTTGTTTTTTAGAGGAGGAAGGACGGTATGGCTGAATGGTCAAGATGTTTAACACATATTCACCATATACTGTTTCCGAACCTCGACTCCATGAATCATAAAATGACCTTGGACAAGTCATTAACGGCTGCTTTATCTTGGACTACTGATTTGATAAAAAACTGAGTACGTGGTTGACATACACTAACCGTCCTTGTCGCAAGTATGTGGTTAGTCAGTATTTACGGAAGCTTGAGTGATTCAGCGATAGAACTCTGAACCAGGCTAGCCTCCTATCCAGAGCTAAATTTAGTAATAGATGTAGGAAAAATATCGGATTTTCAAAATTGTTCCCGGATAGCACCCTATACCGCAAAGTAGCCAAAAGGCAGGGTATTCTTCTTGTTCTAGAGAAGAAAAAGGATGACAATTTTTTCTTCAGAAAGTACTCCATAAATTGGGTTTTTTGAGTTGTGGGGATCATAAATTGTGATCCTTTTCCTGTTCAAAACACTAAATAAAAAATTAAAAAAAGGATTCGACAGTTGTTGCATTCCGAATATACTCTTTCCAAAAAGATAGGTTGAATAGACAGAACGAAGGCTTTAAAAAAATTTTGGGACACCAAATCATCGATTTTCGACCCTTGTTTAATGCATATCCTGAAAACTTCATAACGCATGACTGAAAATTTTAGCATAGTCTCTTCATTACTGCCTCGACATATCCTAAAAATTTTCTGTGATTCAAATCTATTTGATCCAAAATCAACTATGAAGCGAATACGGTATTAACAGTTATGTGACCGCTAACCGTGAATATTAACGAAATCAACTGATGCCTGCCGTCTGTGTTTTTATTATAATTAATCCTCAGGTAAAATCACTCAAGGTTTACTGTAATTAAATTGTGTTAAACGATGGACCATCTCAACTTCTATGTTTCTTTCGGCAATTTTCAAAGTATTCAAAGATTCAGCGAAGAAGGAGATGTGATTGTTGGATAAATGAAGCGTTCTCTATTGAGTCAGCAATAAATATCATATAGGATGGTATGAAGTCTGAATGCAGTGATTATTTGCCAAAACCAATTGTAAAGTGAATATATATGTATGGACTAGCAGAAAAAACAAAGTCAGATCAGTTGAATTTCTAGTTGGTGAACATCTGTTCGTATTATAAATGAGATAAGAAAGACGATAAGAATAGTGTGAAAACTTTTCGGCTGGATAAACTTGTAATGGTTTATAGGAGATCCCACTAAGGTTTCATCAATTTGTACCATATTTTATCTGCTATATTAGAGTTTCACGAAAACTTATAAATTCTATAGTATACTTCTTTTCTTAATGTATGCATAAAAATAATAAACGCTTTGGATGAAAGTGGATACTTATGTACATATGTGTTGGTAATAATAAATCCTTCTAATGGCAACATCGAATAAAAAATATTTCTGATTCAAACATTGACTAATTAATTTCTTAAATATACATCATATATACTTGTGATTTTCAGATATTCTTACTGTTTTATACCCTTCGCCTCAGAAATCCTTGAAAGATATATGACATTGGTATGAACTCTTCAAAAGTTATTCAACACTCGAATCAATAAAACATAGAGAAAAGCAAATAAGTCTCGACTATCATTCAAACGCAGGCAGTATTATCCCTGGTAACTAGTTATAGATACTTTTATTTATCAACTAAGCTATCGAGACACAGTCTTAACTCAGGTTCAAATTCAATATGAACATTTATTTTAATATTTTCGAGTGATATTACGAATAGAGACTTCGTATAACGAAGACTAACTCCAATCCACGTCGGTAATTGAGGATTTGAAAATATGCTTGCCTATTGCCGTTGAATTAAAGCGTATATAATTATATAAAAATTGTATATGACAGGTCTTTTTTTATTCATGATTCGAATAAAAAATGGTAGAATAGCTGTTATTCATCATTGAAAAAGGACGAAACGCAAAAAGAAAAGGAAAGAAAATGAGTCTCAACTGCAATTCGAACTCACGTAGCATCTCAATTAGTACTGCGCCAGACGCGTTCACAAACTAAGCTATTACGGCCCAGTGTAAACTCAAATTCAAATTCAATAAAAGTCCTGTCATATACATGTATATACAATCTTCAAAAGTTAATGAAAATTTTTTTTTCTTAAGTACAAAGATTGGTTATAATGTAGTTTTCTTTTACAGTATAAATAACTGTACGTGAAAGAGACAAAATAATCATCGGATATAATAAAAACGTTTGGGCTCCGACGGTTGTCTACAATTTGTCTTATCTCGTCTGTTTATATCAATGCTCAATATTGAATTTCATTTTTAAAATATCATAATCAGCGACAATTCCGCCTTTTTAGCTGGCAAACGACATAAAATGATTTGTTGATGCCTAATTAGACCCATTACTGACAGAATCTTGCACGCATGTTCGAGCTAATATTCTTTCGATGCTGTTTGACTATTCAAGCGAATGCAGGATCAACAAGTATATGAATCAGAGTTTCGTTGAAGAAGAAGTATGCCAAATGGCAGTAATTCAGACCAATTTTGAGTTGCAATATGTTCTCTTTTCGCTCGAAAAAAACCATGCGTTGATGATTTTGTTCTATTCAAATGCGATGAATAATCGTTAGTTTGTGCACAATTTATGGCCATTGGATTAATGCCGGCAATTCAACCAACAAATAATATGCGTACCTAAAGTAAACTTCAATAGTCTTTTATAGTTACCTTTGCTTGTTATGCATAGCTCGAAAGTAAAGAACAAATTTGCATTAAATCAGAATATTTGTCAACTCAGAGTAATGGTTCCTATCGTTCTATATAACTGTAAGGAATAAGATACGACGTCATTTACCTCACAGTATCCTTCAAAATGATATTGTGTGTAGTCTAAATTCGATGTGTTAAAACTTGTAAGTGGTGATGAGTAACCTCGCTATATATAGTACTTCCGTACATGATTTTTATATCCTTCTTGTATATGAAGGCAACTATATGTCAATGAGGACAATTGCTTCTCTCCTGTAACTGAACAACTCAATTATGACATACGAATGTTCATGTGAGAGAAGGTGAGTTTATTTTTTGAATTAGTTTAAGAAATGAAATTTTTAACAGTTATAGAAGAAAATAATATATTTCATCTGTATAAAAATTTGACGGGCTGTCTAAATCTTGCGCCAACTTTGAGTACAGATCAATATGTTACAAGTACAAGTTTTGCAACTAAAAGAATTTGAAAATTGCGATTATGGTGAAGGGCGTTAGATTGCAAAGTTCAGCTTATGTCTCTCTTCGAAAGACCAAGACTTTTCACGCTGAGTTGCATATTTGAGTGAACTTTCTTGAAGAAAAAAAATCCAATTTTGTCGGCATTTCGATGCAATATTCTAAGCGAGCAAGTTCAATTGAATCTAAATTGTTTTATTCAATTAATAACGTTTCACTGTTTTTGACCGAAAATCAGCAAATAGATGATTTAGAACCGTGAATCCGTATGTTTTTTTCATCGTACTTATATTTTTTTCTCATAAATTTTCAAAACTTTTCATTTATAATTTTGACAAGCCACTTTTCTGCAATGATAGAGCTACTGAGTAATTAAAATATTTGATGAAAAGACTATAAATCTGCGATTTAGACAAGCATTTATTTTTTTTGGAAATCTACTCTCTAAATAAATTGAATAGTTGTCTACTTCTATACATATGATACTGTTTCGAATAAAGAAAACGTTTACGGCAGCAAGAAATGTGACTACATAAAACTTCATCTAAAACCGTGATTCCTAAAATTTGGGTTTATTTCGTTGCCTCTAAATTTTCATTAGCAATGAGTCATGACTGCTCAACCGAGAATTTAATCATTTTTTTTTGGATAGGAACAATCAAAACTCAATAAAAATAATTTGGACTTCAATACAGTCCAAGTGGAAAGAATCGTCGCAAAGCATCTTCAAATGCTATATAATTGTGATACATCTGTTTATTCTATTTCTACTGCTAGTTGTATTTAATTACTTCTCCACCTTCCAATGGTCTCATATTTATGTTTCTGATCCTTCTTTTAATCCCAACGATAAGTTTAAGCCACCATCTAAATCAGCATTATTGCATATCAATGGAACCATCAAACAAATTGCTCAAATCAAACAAATTTATATTATTAATTTACCCAATCGTCCTGATCGACGAACAAATACAATTGCTCTCATGCAAACACTTCATTTTGATGCTTTTATAGTACCCGCCTACACCACACATTCTCCTGAAGTTGTTTCTCATAAATATCTAATGGATAAGGGACGAATTACTTTAGTTGAACTTGCTTGTTGGGCTAGTCATATGCAAATTTGGTCGGCGATTACATTTTCCACAAATAATGACAGTTGGTCATTGGTGTTCGAAGATGACATTGATCTTGAAACATTAACATTAGAAGTACTTCAGTCATTTCCGAATGATCTGTGGAATAAACCAGATTTAATCTATCTTGGCTCTTGTGGCAATATACCTGGTTCAAAAATCTATGAAGGAGCATATGGTTATCGGATTCATCAAGCACTTAATCCAAGTTGTACACATGCATATGCAATTCGATCATATGTTGCTGCCAAACTTCTACGTCTATTATCTTCACCACGAAGAGCAGTTGATGATGAAATTGTTCTTCTATCGAAGAGTCAAAAACTATTGGTATATAGTATTCATCCACCATTAGCAATACAAAGATCGATAACATCTTCGAATCCATCCGATGTGAATCCAGTAAAAGTCTCATGGTCATTTCAAGTCAAAGCACATATCGATTCTATGTTGCAGTGGTGGCAAGGTGCAGAAGTACTAGATAAACTAAAAGACTCAGCATTAGCCAAAGCTGATTTCGAGAAAGCTGTAGCATGGAGAGAGAAAAATGAACATGGGATTTGGAAGAATGGAAATAGAAATAATTCTGGTTGTGTTGGATGTTAAATGGTGAGAGTGAAGTTGATTTATCAGATACAATGTGGCATTGTAGTTGTTATTTCAAAAATAAATTTTGAAAGTCTTGTTAAATCGAAGTTATATTGGTCGATTGTTAAATAATGATTCAAAGAGGATGTTAATATGGGTCATTTCATGCTTGCATGAAAACTTGAGATACAAAGTGAATAGTTGAAAAATGACCGTCTAATAATCTCCGTGTTTCTTTTTAGATTGATCAACGGGTAAAAGCTGAGCTAATTAATATTTTCTAAGTTACTTTCTTGAACATTTGATATTACTTGAAGGTAATCGAATAATATTTGAATGTAGGAGTAGATAGTTGAGCTTGATAGTTGATTAGTGATTTTTCATTTTTCACAATATCCGATTTTTAGTGAAGAGTT